GCTGTGGCTCAAGTGGTAGAGCGCTAGCCTTGAGCTGAAGAGCTGAGGGACAGCGCCCAGGCCCAGAGTTCAGGCCCCATGACCGGACCCAAAAAAAAAAAAATTTAGTGAAGTAAGAAAATGCTCCCCAACAAGTTAAGCCAGGCACTGAGAGCTCATGTCTATTATTCTAGCTACTCAGGAGGATGAGATCTGCTATGAAGGTTCAGCATTCATTAGCTAGGAAAGACAAATCCAACAGACAAACCGATGAGATTCTTAATTCCAATAAATCAACAAAAAGTTGGATGTGGAAGATGGCTCAAGCCATGGCAACTAGCCATGAGCAAGAGCCAACCAAGCAAGAAAAAGAAACTAGGTAACTTATTGGATAGGTCATCAAAACCAAAATTAAAATGCATTTGACATACATGGATTTATTTCCCAAACCTATAAACTTTCTATCTCCAGTTAACTAGCTGAACTAGAGGTGTATTTCAATTGGCAGAGTGCCTGAGAATCTCAGAGAAATAATTACTATTATTCATGTTTTGGGCTAAAACCAATTATGAAGAATACTTACCAACTTTTTGTAAACACTTGCAGTATGTCAAATTATCTGAAATAATTTTTCCTAATTCAGGGAAATGCCAACCATACCACTCCCTACATCGCATAATATAGTTGTTCAGTTCTTTATCCAAGTCATCCAATAAGGCTAGAGTAGATTAAAAAACAGAAATAAAAGTATATTAAGAAAATGTGTTTTATTATTTAAGATATAACAGATTTGTCTTTACTCTATGTAGATTTGCATATTCTATCTATGTACCTCCTCACAGAAGTGGAATATTTCATTTGTTATAAGCCTGGGTTTTCTGTTGCCAGTCCTGGGGACTGAATTCCAGGCCTGGACACTGTCCCTGAGCTTTAGTGCTCAAGGTTAGCACTTGAAGTCACTGGTCTTCCAGCTTTTTTGGTGCTTTAAGTGGACCTAAGAGTCTCACAGACTTTCCTGCCTGGGCGGACTTCAGACCCAACTCCTCAGATCTCAGCTTCCTAAGTAGATAGGATTATAGGAAAGAGCTGCTGTGCCTGGCCCAGTTTGGTTTCAAAGTTTATCCACATTGTAGTATGCATGAGAATTTCATTTCAATGAAATGTCTGCCTAGCAAACTTTATTATGATACAATCAAAGCTTTTGCTTATACGTTCATACATTGATGAATATTACTTTTCTGCCATCTTTGGCTACTGTACATGATACTGTTATGAGTATGGCTATAGTAGCACAAGAGACTTAGTGCTAGTTTCAAGTCTTTTGAGTGTATTATAATGGTGGAAGTGTGATGCTTTGACATGGGATAAAAATTAAAAAGCCACGGGGCATCAGTGGCTCACACCTGTAATCCTAGCTGCTCAGGAGACTGAGATCTGAGGATCACGGTTCAAAGCCAGCCTGGGCACGAAATTCCTTGAGACTCTTATCTCCAATAAATCACTAGAAAACCGGAAATTGCACTGGGGCTCCAGTACTAGAGCACTAGCCTTAAGCTGAAGAGCTGAGGGACAGTGTTCTGGCCCAGAGTTCAAGCCCAACGACCAACCAAAAACGAAAAAAATTAAAAAGCCAAATTACTAATAAGGTGATTCACATTATTCCAACAAGTCAACTTATGGGTAGTTTCCCTGTTTTCTTCTACAATTCCAGGGCCTCATGCATGCAAGGCAAGTGCTCTACCACTGAGCCACGTTCCCAGCCCTCTTCTACACTTATTAAAGTTCTAGCTCATCTTTCTCTTTTATTAAGAATAACAAGTCTCAATAGTAGCAAATCAAAAAACAAGAAACATCAGATTTTGTCATATACTATACTTACAAATGGCCTGAACAATCATTGTGTCTACTTTATCAGCACTAAATTTTAGTCGGTATCGAGACAGGCTGGAGAGAAAAAGATAGAATAAAATTAGCACCATAGCATCCAAAACGTTTCTTTTTTTTGGTTGGTTCTGGGGCTTGAACTCTGGGCCTATCTAATTGATATTAAATTTATCCCTCCTTGTTCTGACAGCTAAAATATGACTCTTAAGCCAGCCTTTAATTCTAGCTACTCAGGAGGCTAGATGAGGATCACATCATGGTTTGAAGCCAGCCCAGGCAGGAAAATCCATGACTCTCATCTCCAATAAGAAAAAGCCACAAGTGGTAGCCCCAAGCCTTGTGGTTTGAGCTCAACCCAGGCAGGAAAGTCTGTGAGAATTAAGTCACCCCCCACCACATCCACACATACCCACAGGAAGTAGAGCAGTGGCTCAAGTGGTACAATAGTAGCCTTGAGCACAAAAGGGACAAGGGCAATCCCTGAGTTCATTCAGGCCCTAGGACTGGCAAAAACAAAACTCTTCAAAACCCTGACAGCCAGGTGATGGTGGCTCACACCTGTAATCCTAGCTACTCTGGGGGGTGAGATCTGAGGACTCAAGTTCAAAGCTAGTCCAGGTAGGAAAAGTACCTGAGGCTCTTTATCTCTAATTTCACAACCTAAAAATCAGAAGTAGAGCTGTGGTTTAAAAAAATGCTCAGAGCAGTATCTAGGCCATGGTTTCAAGCCCTACAACTGTGAAAAAAAAAAAAGACTTCTTATTAACCTAGAATATTTTGCTTTCTTTTCTGTCACTCAACAGTGTCAGTATTTAATTACCTTGTACTCACCTTTGGACATGCAGACTTTTGTTTACTGTAGTTATTCAATGTATGCTTGCTCTTTAATTTTAGGAAACAATAGCACTTTTATCCTAGTTGAAGAAACTAGGAAATCTTGCATTGGCCTCCTGACTGCTAGATTAGAGGCATACCTAGCTCAACCTGTGTTAATTAGAACCATTTTTTGTTTTTTTTTGGTCGGCCGTGGGGCTTGTGGGCGCTGTCCCTCAGCCCTTCAGCTCAAGGCGAGCACTCTACCACTTGAGCTACAGCGCCACTTCCGGTTTTCTGGTGGTTTATTGGAGATAGGAGTCTCACAGTCTCTCCTGCCCAGGCTGGCTTTGAACCGCAATCCTCAGATCTCAGCCTCCTGAGTAGCTAGGATTACAGGAGTGAGCCACCGGCGCCCGGCCATTTTTTGTTAGTTTTAATAGTGCTCTTGGTTACAGAGTTACTTAGGGCATTAAGTAGTCTAACCATAATACTTCTACTTTCTTTACAAAATGAAAATTTTAGTGTAATTCCACAGAATGTCAGTCCTCTGCCCATAGCATAGCACGTATACCCTAAGAAACTCTTGATAAACACATTAGGTTTAATATACTTCATTTTGCACTCCTCTTTCTTGCTAGTACTCATTTAGACTTTTCTACTAATGGCTGGCGTACTATCCCTTTGAGCCACACTTTCAATATGGCACTCTGATGACTAATTGGAAGAGGAATGTGTGCCCTAAGACTTTCTTGCCATAGCTCGCTGTGAACCTAAAACCTCTGATCTCAGCCTTGTGAGTAGCTAGGACTGTAAGTGTGAGCCACTAGTGCCAGACAATTTTAGCCTAATTCTAAATGTTTACTAAAAACCAGAGTGAATTCATCTTCAGCACCAGTTTCTGCATAACAATATGATCATCTTCATAGCATTATAAAACTTGATTTTCTCACCTGTGGGCCAATCCAAGACACATGGCTGACATTTCTCGTGGCTCTACCCCTGGGATTAATCCATCCATTTGTGATCGGATTCCTCTCATAAGTTCATTAACAACAGGACTATGGATACAACTCAGATTCAGCTTTTCCTACAAAACATTTTTATTAAATGAAAAATGGTTATCTTGAAATTATTTTGCATATTAAAATATTATCGATACTTCTCAAACTATAAATTTCTATTATCTTTTTTTTTTTTTTTGGTTGGTCGTGGGGCCTGAACTCTGGGCCTCAGTAGGCACTGTCTCTCAGGTCTTCAGCTCAAGGCTAGCGTTCTACCACTTGAGCCACAGAGCCACTTCTAGCTTTTTCTGCTAATGTGGTGCTAAGGAATCAAACCCAGGGCCTCACGCATGCAAGGCAGAGGGCTGGGAAGATAGCTCAGTGG